GGGAGGGAGAGGGAGGGAGAGGGAGGGAGGGAGGGAGGGAGAGAGAGAGAGAGAGAGAGAGAGAGAGAGAGAGAGAGAGAGAGAGAGAGAGAGAGAGAGAGAGAGAGAGAGAGAGAGAGAGAGAGAGGGAGAAATATCCCCTCCCAGCCTCCGTTTCTCTAATCTGAACTGAACCTTGCCCGCCAGCAGACGAGCAATCAAAGCCTGCGAACGCCCTTAGGCATTGTCGGAGGCACATAAACCTTTCCCTCTTCGCGTGTGCTTCCCAGTCCTCATCACCCGCACACCGGTCTCGTATGTGCACTGAAGCTTAGGGTCAAGACACACCCTAGTCCCTATCTCACGGTCTTGTCTCGTCTGTTTGTAATTTTTTTCTCCAAAGAAGAGGTTTGTTAAAATGGGCCCAAACGATTCCTTTCCAGCATGTTTGGCTTACGGAACTACGTCCCTAGGTTAGCATTCCTTCACTGTCAAATCTTTCTTCGGGACACCTTTCTCATTTCAAACTCCCGAACCACGATCCAAAGTCACATAGTAGTCACAACACCTAGCTTAGCCTTGCGGTCTATAACGAGGGACTTTCTTCGCGCGGGTCACAAAGCTTACAAGAGCATTGGGAAGTCCACATATCGAAGCCAGTTGATGTCACCTTCACTGTGCTCCCCTTTCGCAAAGTTCACTGATCTCTCATTGTTCGTTACATTTCCATAAATTCCAATCAGCACTAATGTCTGGTTTCACACCATTCATTAAAATAACGTATCACCTATACTATATAGCTACTGTAAGTTTAACGGAGACTCTCAGCTGTTTTATACCGCTTTCCTCTGGTTCATGAGTTGCAGCTCTAATCCAACGGCCAACCGCACGTCTTCAGCTGCTTTACTACAACTCCCTATCTAAGTCTTCGCTGCACTTCATCACATTCCATTCCAATCTGCCCCGGTAAACGGTTTCACTTCATAAACATGACAGAGTTCAATCCTCGTCTGGCCATCTTCCCTCCAAAGATCGCGAAATGCCTTTTTCCTAGTCGGCATCAGGCGCTTCATCTCTAGGGCTGTCCTGCCTGCCATATTGACCTCAGTTTCCACTTGCGATATTTGTACAGGCTCAATCCAAAAAAAAGTCCTGCAGGATGCGGTCAGGCATGACCTCAGCTCCTACGTTCGAGAGGAGCCTCCTCTGGGTCTTTCCCATCCAGCTTGATATCAACTACTGTTCATCCAGCTACACCTGTGCTTTGGGTATGCATCTAACGCCGCATATCATGAAGGCATTGGCTACTCTGGCAGTCACATAGCTGGCTTCGATAATCAAGTACATGTCCACATATTTGTCTGCAACCAATGGAGAAATGCAGTACTCAAACACCACAGTAAGGTTTTCAAAAAGATGTTTCAGAGCTATAACCCCATTCGCCAAGTTCCCTCGAGCCCCACAACACTACAAGTCCCGTCATCTGTTGGCCGCTCTGAACATTGCAGCCTATGTCTGCAATAGCGCCACGCCACCTGTCTCCAACGGCACCTATTAATCCCAGTGTGGGTGTCGGCCCCTCAGAATGGTCGATTTTTAGATTGTATTTCAAGTTCTAGGACTCGGGACTTTACAGTTCTAGAAAGGTTTGTTACCCATGCTCTATTTAATACGCGTTACAGGAATGATGGGAGACGAACCTGGAGCCTCCACCGCGTTATGTAACAAGCCTAAGTCTCACCTAGTACCGCAGCTCATCATAAACACAAGGGGGGGCCGAGCGCACACAGCCTGCATGGAATCTAACTCCGACGCAAAAACAGTGATCCAACAGCAACCCATTTCCTTCGCCCTCTCAACACTCAAGGGCTCCCTCTTCCCCGCAGCACATTTCGACATCTCTCTTGACACAGTCTACGGCGAAGGCACTCCGTCCTAAAGCACGTGAGCACTTCGCCTCTTCCACCAGCTGAGGTACTTTAAAAAAACTCAATCTTTCGCTCCAGTCCCCATACACAAGCACTGCAAAGAATCACTTGGGTTCCTCCAATAACAAACACTATCAACCTCCACAAGAGCTGCCCTGAGCGACTCCCGAAATCCTTTGAACATGCCAAGAGGACTCTGCAACATTTACGGAGGTCTCCACAACGAGATAAGAAAGGTGGACTCTTTTATTGGAAGTAATCAATAAGAACTATCCCGGGATACCAAGCGAACGAATGAGCCACACATTGCTGACACTGCAACTCGCCGTATGTCAAACGTACGGGGGTGGCACTCCTAGCCGCGATACTGACACAGGGGGAGTGCCACCTCAACACCCAAGGAAGCACCCAAGACACGAGCACATTAACTTGCTTGTTTCACTGGCCCCACCCCCTCCCTCCTCTCCTCCTCCTCCCCGCCCAAATAACAACACGGTGCCCAGCCTGACCCCCCCCCCTCACGCCCAGATACGCGGGCGTGAAGTGCAAAAGGAAAGGTATGCATATGTGACTCACTATCTCCAGTGACTTACCTTCACGACAACACACTTGAGGGAAGTATCAATTCCTTGAGGTGGGACAGGCTATCAACCTTCCTCTTCCTTCTGACAAATTGTTCTCCGTGCCTTTTCAACAAACGCCCACTTGAATGAGAAATGAACGCGACAGCGAGGGAGAAGCAGGAGGTGGAGTGTCGTAGAGCCCACAGCAGGGTGGACCAACTACACCAACTCCCACCACCCTGACTGCTGTTTCTAGCCCCACTCACGACCGCCACCACAACACTGCTGGCCTCACAGCACTCTGGAAAGCACCTTTCGTTCACTTGGTTCTAGTTACGGGGGGAAACACATCAGAAGGTATTCCGTGTATTATATATCCCCTGCAGTGCCCGTTTCACTTCAAAACGCCACGCCAACGCGCCGGACTTTGTCAAAAAACCGGACTCCACATCTCCCGAGTTTTACTCAGCTCACGGGGTGGTTGGAGGAGTTTCCCTTCACGTCGAGGTGTGCACGGAATGCCATTTCGCTGCTGCGTGCAGTTCTACTCCCGTCTGTCCACTTTAGACCACGATTTTCGAGGAAAAACTACGGAGCAACTCCCCATCGCCCTTTCTCCATTAGGCCTACGTGGTTACGCTGAGAGCAGCTGGGGACGAGAGCGACGGGCGTCCTCCCCCGCGGCCGCAGTGGCCTCGCCCGAACACACAAACTTGTGGCGGACACCAAACTGGCACACCGACCCCGATAAGGCGAACTTCACGTCTAGCACACTCATTTCTCACCGAATCGCAAATATGAAGCTCAATACGCGTAAAGAAGCTAATGGGATGCTACAATACGTCTACATCTACAATTTCAACGAAAAATGGTGGTGATAGAGCGCGGCAAACGGAAAATATCGTCACCTCTTTATATTTCATCCGAACTGAACTCCTGAAGTTTCTGAACGATTTTTTAATGTTTCATGGGTCTTAAACATGTAAATACACTTCCAAACACCTTCGCAGATACGTACAATTCGACACCAGGAAGGAGTTTGTTCTTCGAGACACCGACTGCCATTTCGGCTAACTCCGGGTAATTTCATCAATACTATTCATAATGCAGATTTCCTTTTCGCCAATTCTAACTGCAAGCGCAATAACACACTGAAAAACCGTCTTGAACATCAAAACTAGTTCCCAAATAGCCATTTTCGTCCCCCACTTATCTCGATCGAAATTTTAGCGAACATCGGGTCATCAGGCGCTTTATTTCACTTCCACAGATTTCTTGAATACCCGCACGTTGCATATTTCAAGTACTTACCATTTCAAGTCCTCAGATGAATCAGATTCGGGAAGATTTTATCAGAGCGACACACAGACACATCCGCCATGGAAAACGCTCAACTACGAATTTCAGGCGAGAGTGACGTCACAGTGTTTGCCTCGCGCTAGCCAATCAGCGAGGAGATGCTGCTCTCGCGGCGACCTCAAGCTCTCCTTAAAAAGGTATATCACCAATATACATTCTCTGCAAGCCTTTTTCTTAGTATATATTATTAACGAGATTATAAATTTAGTTACTAAATCTATTAAGTATATGATTGAAGGAAATTATTAAATTAACGCTTAATTTTTGGAACCTGTTACCCTTCCCTGGTAAACAGGTATCAGCTGATCGTGTTAGCTCATCCCGATGTAAGTAAACCTAAAGGATTGCATAAGTTATCCCTCTCCCATAGCTGTCTTTGCAATATATATTGATACGTGATTATATCCTACATGATCTCGTGATACTTTCGGTCGATAACATTAGCGGACAGGGAAATGTAGACCGATATAAAGGAGTTCACGATCTCTACACCCCGTTGGGTAGGGCGGCGCGTGTTACAAGGGTTTGATTTTTGCACTGTGGAAGATGTCGAAATTTTAAATGATTTGTACCCAATTTTTAGTGAGATATTGTTTATTGAATAGAACTGTTTTGATATTGTTGCAATGTTCACATAGTCATCTGCTAAAGTCAGTCGGCACACGCTGCTCGCAATTCAATACTTCCATTCATTTTTTTTTTGTTTTTGTTGTTTTTTCTTAAACTAGTAACAAAGTTGAGTCATTACCGTAGTATGTGATTTTAAGGCAGTCAGAAAAACCACGGCTTTTTGTCGTAGTAAGTTGCGTTCACGTGGTTATTCCGACCCGTGCTCGGCCCCCCTCCCAAAGTACCTGTGCCTTTGGAATACCGGTATGGGTGCCTCTGGTAAAGTGTGGAGAGCCTTTTCACACGTGTTTCAGACCAATTCCTAAGTCAGGGTTAGTATCATTCATTGCTATGTAGCTGAGAAGGAAAGGTGTTTGATCTACAACTGGTGATGGGGATTGTGGTAGCAATATTGCACTGAAAACAACTCTTAAACTAGGACCATGTCTGCCTAAGACTAAGGTCTACAAGTACTACAGCTCCATGCCTATTTCTGGTAAGATAGAGCTTGGACTTATTCCTTATTTGGCAAATTAACAGGGTGGTCTTCAAACTCATTTTTCCAGAATATTCATGATGGAGGTTAGGTCTCTTTTTGCCAGGGTGCCAAAGGCATGGAGGCCATGTAAGTGCACCTGTCTCTGTTCTTGTATCTTTAATAAGTGATCACAGTCTTGGCATTCCTGTATTTTCAACCAATTGTCTTCCATAACTGATAGTGTTTTTTCATGGATTCTTTAAGGTATTAGCTTTGTGTTTTAATACCTTTGTGCTGCCAGAATTGTCCATTCCAATATTTGTGAATAGGCCTATCCTAACAATCCTATTCAGACATTCGCTTGTGTTTTGGACAAGATAGTCCCTTCCACTTTAGTCAGGCCATATCAAAGAGACTTAATATGTTGGGCATGTATGTTTGAAGAAAGATCATTCCTTTACACAAGCAAACATGCACACAAAGAGCATACTATCCTGTATGTTGTCGTATGTTTGAATTTGTGTCTGCGCCTTCAGATCGATATGTGAAAGAGTTAAGGTAGAATTAAATATGATATAATGAAAGTGAACAACATTTCTTTTTATAAAAATGGACGAGGATAGTAAAGACCCCATTTTGAATATGTAATTGCATAAGAGTTTATTTCATGTGGTCATTTCAGACTTCCCTTTTGTTTGCAATAAGTGTTGCTATTGCACAGTAACATGAAATCTATAGTGACCATTTTCATACAACTTATTCATAACTTTCAGATCTGGGAATCACAGGGCTCACTCTTGGAATGTATTCTATATGGATCATTGTTTCAATTTGAACACTACTTCTTGTCCAGTAAATCAATGGGGGGAGCCTTTTAAAGCTCTTTTATTTGTGCAATTATCAATACCTTAAGTAAGAACATATTTGTGGAGTTGCTTTAAAAAGAATGTAGTTGCTGATAGCAGTTACAGCATTTTTTCATGTATTTCTCAGAGGGGTTTGGTGACCAGTGCCAGGATTTTTGTAGCTCAGTGCCATATCACTTGATGCATAGACAAGTTTACTTTATTTAGCTGTTGTGAATTAACATATTTTGTGGCCTAAGTTTTGTAAGGTTCGTACACATTATCACATGAACTGCAGGCCAGCCAGAACACTAATTTAAGCATACATTACAGCATTCACCGTGTGTGTGTGTGTGTGTGTGTGTGTGTGTGTGTGTGTGTGTGTGTGTGTGTGTGTGTGTGTGTGTCCACACGTGTGCTTAAATATTTATATACAGATATCTTTATTTGTATAAATATCATAATCAGTGTGCCCTGTTACAAATGAACCCCACTACCCACTTTGCTTATATACCACAGTAGTTCTTATATGTAAATTGATCATAGTAATCATTACTTTAGTTCAGACAGGCAGTCTAATGGCCCTGTACCCTCAGAATCAAAGTTAGCTAACAAAGTTGACAGACTTAACCCAATTAGCACAGGTGGCAAGACTATAATGCCATGCCCACTGTAATAAAAGTTCATCTATTGTCTTTATACATAGATGGCTCTACAAGTGTTTAGTCACCAAAGAGTCAGCTATTAGTCTTACCTGTCTCACCTGTTTACCCTTTTCTTTGATTTTTTGAAAGTTTCTTTTCTATTATTTTATTGTCTTTGATGTTATGAATATTTTAATAACAATTTAGTAATCATAATACCAATAAGAATGATAACAATGTCAATATTAATAGTATTAGAAAGAAAAACACATTTTCCCACAAATTCAAGGAATGGGGATGTCAGGCATAGTCACTAGGGCCAAGTGATAGACTCCTTGGTGGCTGAGCACACATGGAACCACCTGTATGAAACAAAACTCACAAAAATCTAAAGAGGGCGGTACATAAACTCGCAGACCTCAGGTTAAGAGTCATACCTGCCAGGTACTAAAAAGAGTGTGGATACAGCTGTAGTACTCCTAATTATAATGATTTATATAGAACTTACAATTGCTTTATAAATTGAATCAAAAGTAGAGCAGAACTTTAAACAAATTTGTCCATTTTTCATGTTCTAATTCATCTTTTTCTATTTCAGAGTAAATCGTTATGGGCCGATAACTTCCACATCATATTACTGTTGGAATGGAATGAAAGGAGGGGACCACTTGCTAAGGGTGTCGGTATGCTTTTTGTTCCTTGCCATTTGATCTGTTAAAAAATCATCTCTGTTAAAAAAAAATGAATTACAGAATAGTCAATTTCATTTTATGTTCTGAAAAAAATAATTTTTTTGAAATAATTAAAAATAATTCAGAGACCTGAAGTTGTTGATAGTGCCTATAAGGGAGAGGATTGACATGTAACTTAAGCTCAGTGTGATATTTATCATTTTGCTGATTTCCTTTTACAGAAATTGCTTATTGATGTAAAGTTGCCATACTCAAATAATAAATATCCTTCCAAGTTTTTTAAACACTGCCTTTTTATTTACTGATCCTTAAAAAATATTTGAAAACTACTAATCATATATGAATTAGTGACTTTCTCCATTTTTATAGTTATCATTGTCAAACTGGAATCAGTATATATAAA